GATCCATCGGACATCAGCAATGATATCCCTCATTCCACGGCCTCTTCTGAATCCAGCTTGAACCTCTGGAAGTTCTCTGTCAATGTATGCTTGTAGCCGTTTCCGTATTACCTTTACACGCATGGGATATCAAAGATTGTCCGATGATCTTGGCATTCCGTTGGGTCACCTCTCTTTGGAATGGGCACAAATATGGATCTCTTCCAATCAGTTGGCCAGATCGTTGTCTTCCAAATGTCTTGTCAGAGATGAGGAAGTAGTGTGGGCTTTTCTCACTTCCCTTCTTGCTCATCTTGGTTGTGCTTCATTGAAGCCTTCTTTGCTAGCTCAATTAGGGTTCTCAGATGAGGTTGGATTCCAAGGAATAGAGCAGATCACTGAGCCCGTGTTTGGGATGGCAAAAGCGTGTTTGGGATTCTATTCACATTTTGTAGTAATACAAGGCCATAAAGCCAGAGAGCTTTCTCATGTTTCATGTCTATGAGAGGATTCAAAACTGTTATCTGCAAGAATTCAGGGGAAAAGATATTGTATGTGCCAGCTGTCTTTAGGGAACTCTGATGGAATAGTAAGTTACTTGTCGGCGTGCTAACCACAAGGTCAGCAGTTTGAATCCAGCAGTCACTTTGTGTCGGAAACCTGAGGCTTCCTGTTTCTGCGAGACTGGACTCGTGGTGCAATGCTACAGGATCAGGACTGAGCTGTGAACCACAAGGTCAAAGCCACCAGCTGTTCCTTGTATTCAGGGTCACTATGAGTCAGAACCTACTGGATAGCACGTAACAACAATTTTTATTTCCAATAAATGAAATCCAAACTGGATGTATATTTTTATTTCCTCTTTTAAGCATTGCTTTAGGTACACTGAAGACATTTCTTTGCATTCTGTATCCTTGCTACTCAAAGGAGTGCCCACTGAGCCACAGCTGGGGCCCAGTCCAGTCTATCAAATCACGAAACCATATTTTAAAAAGATGTGTCGGTGAGTCTGTGAATCTGATGGCCTGCTTGGGATGACTTTCTTACTCAAAGGTTTTATCAATCTCAATCTACATATTTACTTATTTGATAAATTTGCTTTTAAAATTTAGAGTTTTCAATCACCTGGAACGAATTCTTCTCTTTGGTATGAAGTAAGTCCTGTAAGTTATATTTTTAAAACCAGTTAACCAGTTGTCCTGATATCCTTCATTAAGTACTGGGGCCATCGTTACCCAATGGAGGTATGTTGTCATTGTTAAGTGCCTTTGTGAGTGCAAATAGAGGGAATGAATTGTAAAGGCATGTAGTCTGATCCTCGGTTTCCTATAACATTAAAGACAATGCAAAGAAAGTAGGTCTGCATTCCAAAGTTGCATGCTTTCCAAACTGAGAGGCCAAGTTGGCCCAGAGCCTGTCTGGAGGGTCCCGATGCCAAGGTCTGTCCTGTTCAGAATCCAGGGCGGTCTTGGGCAGGATCTGAAGGCTGTAAGTTCAAACCCACCCACAGCTGCACCAAAACCCTGCCCAGGGCCGCTGTGGGCGGAGCGACTGCGCCCCTAACACAGCACCTCCGTACAGTGCCAGGTCTCTGGGCGCCGCCCCAACACCTCCCCGCCATCGCAAGGCAGGGGTTTGGGGGGCACGGGGTCTCCTGGGTCAGCTCCCTGGTTCCGACCTGGACTTACGGGGCGCGGGTCATTCAGGGGAGCCCCCGAGAAATGGGGCGTCATCACTGTGGCAGCTCTTTGGGGAACTCCAGGCGCCGGAAACTGCAGGCCATATAATGCAGGGCCCACGAGAGGTTCACACAGGTCACTGCCAGCGCCCCGCCGGTGCACCTGGGTCCCCTGAGCGCGGAGGACGGCAGTCGGTGCACCTGGCTTCCCCTCAGCGCGGGGACGGCCCCTACTTTCCGACGCCGGAGGTCGCAGTTCCTGTGGGACCCTCGGCCTAGCGCCCCGACATCGCGCACGAGCCTACCCTTCCCGGCAGCTGTCTAGGCTCTTCAACCCCGGGGGGTCCCCTTCACTGCCTCGTGCGCATGACAGGGAGGGGCAGGCGGTTGGCGCTGGGCGTGGTCGGCGGCGGATAACGGGGCGTGGTCAGAGAGGGGTGGGGGTACCGTTGGGAGGGCGGGACTAGGCGCGAGAGCCGCGCAGGCGCGACGACGACACAGCGGTTTCCCTCCCCCAACGGGCCTGTGGCCGCGGCGTCGTGAGGCGGCCGCGCTGCGCTCCGCCGCGTCCGCGTCCCCGTCGCCTCGGAG